CAATTTTAATCACAACTTTGGTGATTTCGTCTCCACATGTCTCCCAATGCCGCTGAAAAAAGTGAGCAGGGAAGCCGTCTGGTCCCGGTGCCTTGGTGGGAAACATCTGAAACAGGGCAGTTTTAACGTCTTCCGCTATGTATGGTGCATTTAACGACACATTCATTGCCTCCGTGACCTTGCGTGGTACTGTATCTAGCACCTAAGCCATATCTCCCACCCCCTCCATCGTGTACAGATCCTTATAAAAGGTGGTTTTCATGGTTTCCATCTCCATCACATTCTCCGTTACCCTCCCATTGGCACACTGCAATGACTTGATTTCGTTTTTCCGCCGTCTCCTGCTCGCTCTCAAATGGAAGAAGTAGGTATTTTTGTCGCCATGCATGAGCCAGTCAGTCCAGGCTCTTTGCCTCCACAGGATTTCTTCGCGGTGAAAAAGCTTGACCAGGCGATCACAAATTTTTGTCTCCTGTCGCGATGGGCCGGATCTTCCTGGGAGTCCCCGCATCACCTGCAGCTCCTTTTTCAAATCCGCGATTTCTCTACGAACGCTGCCAAAGTGCAGCCGATCCTATGTCGCCAGGTCGCCTGACAGCGCATGGAGTTTCGCTTTCACCTGGCCCATTGAATCTCCTGCCGCCTGACTCCATCCTGCATGCACCACTGTCTCCAGCATCGGGTCGCGTTCCCAGCAGAGCTCCTATTTAAATGGCTGTGGCCCCCACCTACATGCATGCATTGCTTGGAGCTGAAGCAGCAGGGGTACATGATCGGACGTAGTAGCAGCTAGGTGCTCCAATGATGCATCTGGGAAAGCCAAAACCCACTCTGGGTTAGCCATGCCTCGATCCAAACGCACCCTAGTGTACGTGCCACCCACCACCTTCTTCTCAAACGTCCAGTTCTGTCCTTTGTACCCGATATCTGACAAGCCACATGTGTCAATAGCGTCTCGGAATGAGTCCATCTGCGCTTGGTTCGTTGGCCAATTCCATCATGCTCATGGGCATGAAGAACTTCATTGAAGTCTCCAATCACTACCCATGGCCCATTGCTTGTTCCTGCGATTCCACGCAACATATCCCAAGTTTTGTATCTCTCACTTGTTTGGGCCTCCTCATACACAAATGTTATTCTGGTTTTAGTTTCTACCATTTGCCCAACAGATACATCTATGTGGTACTCAGAATAACCCAACACTTCGAGCTTTATTTCCTCATTCCAAAAAAATGCCTAGTCCACCACTCCTTTCGGAGCTGCTTACAGCAAAACTTTTATTGTAGCCTAAAGTTCCTACTAAATTCTCAACACGTTAGCCCTCATTGCGCCTGGCGCGACCCGTTGATAGGCCCCGCTGTTTGCGCATTAGGGTTGGTTGAGTTTTTGTTCTTCACTTGATTCTTTTCCGTCTGAGGGGGGTTGGTCTTCGTCCTTTTGAGATCCTGCTTTGATGAAGGGCTTTGCGGGACAATGACTGTGGATGGGGCTTGCGGCTCCATCGAAGATGATGGGTTCGTGCCTAGGGCCGTAAGCAAAAGTGTGTTTACGTGGGCTCCTCGCTTGCGGTTCCCATCTCCTTCTTCCATAGCTATGTCCTGATCAGCAGCAGGGTCAAATTTTTCTTGCTGTGTTCGACCAGAACCACGCCCTCCTTGACCTGAGCGCCATTGCCTCGTCCTCGCCCACCTTGGAAACCTCTTGCTGCACCTGGACCGCGGCATGGACCCCTGAACCAGTCTGCTTTCAGGTTTTTAAACACTAGTGCAGATGGGGGATGAATTCCATTGCCACACTCTTTGAACAGATGGCCTAGCATACCACAGACCGCACACCAATCTGGCAACCTTTCGTATTTCACCCTGAATATCTCCCTGCTCTTCTTAATCACCAAAGAGACAGCATTCTTGAGCGGCTTAGTGACATCCACCTTCACCCGAACCCTAAAGAAATTACCCTCAAAGTCCTGGGATTTCGGTTCAGCAAATATGAAGTCGCCAACAGTTGCTGCTAGAGATTTAATCAAGTGGAAGAACAATTCAGGGAGGTCATGAATCTGAATCCACATCTCGATCTTGTTGAGAACAATAGACGATGGCCTAGTGAATCCATCATAGGGCTTGATCACGACCGCTTTTCCCTTGAAGGTCCAAGGGCCGTTCTCCATGACTCTCTCCCAGTCACCAAGGCAGTAGAATTGGAGAGTATAGAGATTGTCTTCTAGGGGGCGGAAACTAACTTCTTGCTCTAGATCCCAGGCCACCCTCATGTTGCGGAAGAACCAGTACTGGCTATAGGGTTTATCCATGTGAACTCGCGCGATCGCCATCCACCGCGCAGCTTCCTCTGGTATGTCACCATCTTGAACCACCACATCCTCAAGATCGCCTTCCTTCAGGCCTAGTTCCTTCATCATAGCTTCCATCTCGCTCATCGCCGCGGCCGAAGCCGACGTTGAGCCTTCCATGAGATCTCTTGCCCGTGAGAACGATTCCCGCGGGCGGGAGGACCCTAATCAGATCACTCCAGCACTCACCTCCACCGGACGTCTGAAGCCGCCGACGATTGGTGGTCTGGGAGACGCAGGGGATCGTGATCTCCACGTCGGTGCCAGGCACCGCCGGGAGGAGGCAAAACCCTAACTAGAGGGGACAGTAAAAGTGTTCACGTGGGATGGAACTCCCAATGTTGCATGTCGAGGCCCAAAGCTGCAACCAACAGAACTAAAGCATCTGTGTGCAAACAAAAGGTTTTTTTATATATATATATAAATTAGTACCACCTCGCTGCTTTATGATCCGTTCGACCGATTTATATATGTTTCCGATTCAAAATCAATAAGCCGCCTCGAGAATTAATGGTAACAAAGATGGCCGACATATGGCTTAGATCTCATGAGATGTGTGGCATGATCAGCGGACTTAAATAAGGAAAAAGAGTGGCGTGATTAGCAGGCATAAAATATGAAAAGAGAGTTTCGCAAAAAGAAAAATGAAGGAGAGGATAATGACCAGATAATACCAGCCTGTGATCCTTGGATCCGGCTTGCCTGCTCCCTCCCCATGCTCCCTCTCCATGCTCCCATCCGTGCTCCCACCTCATCCTACGGTTGTCTTTTTTCTTTTTTCCTTTCAAATCTAATCATCTCCCCCCCTGATTTTAAAGGGGTGGGGCCGGGCCTTATTTTGTTCCAATTAAATCAAACCACGTATGCGGGAGCACGAATGGGCACACGCGTGGGGAGCAGGCAAGTCTCGTCCGTGATCCTTGGGCAAAAATAAGGAAGGTGAGCTCCTAAAAAAAGGAGAGAACGACCTTGCAAATATATTACGTGGGCTTAAACAAGGAGATAATAATATGTTGCAAAGGAATTATAATACGAGGGCATGATCAATATACATAAATAAGGAAGGACAGTTTGACAAGAAAGAAATGGGATTGTTTGTTCAAATGCAAAGGAATTATAATTCATTATTTCTAATGTACTGGAGATGGTCTAACACAACCCTTTTCGCGAGAATTTTTTCATGACAACTTACAAATAATGCCTTTAAGATTTGAAAATTAGGGGGGCTTTTAAGATCAGAATGGTCATACAAAAATCGTATCAAAAGCCTTGTATCTGTAGCATGCTTCTTAATGTGGAATTGGAAAAAGACTTCCTCGCCTGAGAGCAACGCTCTGCAACGCATCTAGGGACGAAGGCACGTAAATCTCTCCTCACCCTAATTAATTTCTCTGCCCTGGTGAATTCAAGGGTG